CACCTTCTTGGTTGCTGCAATTTTCTGTCACTCATAGATGGAAGTTTGATATCTGCAGGCAAAATAACATTTTGTTACTGCAATTACACCTTGGAAACGTTATTACATTGTGAGCTCAATAATCATAATTTTACCAATTCGCTCATTATAACTTCTATCATCGAAACTGAATTATACAGCTGATAATGTTAACTAACATCGTGGTCTGACAAAGAAAAGTATTACTTGCATGTATACTACAAGCCTGGGGCAAACAGGATGTGGCGTTCCGGAAAAAAAAATTAAAATGTTTTGTGTCATATGTTTCACTTCATTTTGTATAGAGCAGGTGAAACGTAATGCACTATACAATTGATCCGCATATGCCACTGCTAGTGTGTTCTGTCAATGAAAGTTGCCCATAACCATGATCGAATTGGCACGTTTCATTTGTTTTGGAGGTCAGTGAAAGAGAAGTAGTTGGTGAGTAGAATGGGGTACGTGTTGTTTTGTAAATGAATATTGCGTTGACAGAGTTATATGTCTCATAAAATCACTTTGATATTGTCACCTTTGAAGGGTATCAAATATAAACATTCTCTTAGGTCACTTCATTCTACTGGTTTGTGCGCCACTGCCTGGCTAAAGTACCTTATAAAACTATTCTCTACGGGAATAACGCTTTTTCTTTACTGTACTTGCAGTTGGAATGCTTCCTTCCAAGGACAAATATCTATTGGCTCGTTTACCTATCGTTCCGATAAAATAATCTTACGAACGGTTCCATCTTGCTTTCTTTGCCATTAGAACGTTTAGGAATGGGAACAATTGTTTTTCTCTTCTTACATTGAAAAAATCAATGTTTTGAAGTAAACTGGGGATGCACGGAGGAGAACAGGACGGGGTACGTTTATTTTTTTCATTTTCACTTATTTTCATTGAAAATACCAATACAATTTTCAGGATGTAAAGAGTATTCAACTATACGGGTGCCGTAAAACACACTGGGGTAAGTTGGGCTGAGGTTGTGGGATTCAAACACGCGTCCTCTACGGTAATACCTTTATGACGTTACCACTGGGGCCACCACCGCCATAAGTATACCTTCTACACATACATTATCCAGTGAAAAATGATATAAAATATTCTTCATTTCATTTCCTAACTTAAAACGAATAGGTCCGCGAGAATATTCCCCCATGTGGCTTCCCGTTTGAAATTAAAGCTTATCTCTGAAGTGCACAAGAGAAGGTCACGTTCTAGCTCCGATATCCGTGAGTCCTAACTTTCATAATGTTCTTTAATAAACTTTAGTTTATTCGATGTCCTTAAGCAGTGGCACTGTTTTCCGACGTATTACATAATTTGAAATGAAGTCAAATCTACTTTGGCTGTAATCGGGCACTCAGGCTTTGTTGTTCTGTCTGACAATTTTCATTTTATTCCTTATTTGCACAAAACGTCCTATCTGACCCCAATCAGCCTGTAAATGGCAATCTATCAAAATGGCGCTCTCGGCCATTCACGCATTGTGCACACCATTTATTACTCTTTCGCATCAACCGCTACAGAAATTCCACTGTCCTCTAATTTGCTAGAATCCTGGCCAACCGACAATGCGTTCCTCCTGAATTTCGCAGTAACCTTCCAGGTAAAATGTTTTACTCGTGTTGCTTTCTTCTTTCAATGAGATGATGTATCATTCTCGACTGAAATGCAGATATCTTGTCACTTAAAAGTCCATACCATTACGAATATCCCTAGGTCACTCCAGTTGTATAGGTCTTTATTTCAGAGCATAACACGAATGCGTCACGAACATTTTAGAAAAGCACTATTCACTGAATCATTATGTCGATCAAAGCAATCCCACACGGGACAGCAATTTTAGCTTGGTGAATCATCCGGACTGATTGTGTTAAACCCAAGGGACAATAGTGACTTAGTATTTTGCGAATATTTGCAGCATATGTCATATGAGCTCTGTGCCACACACTTGTCGAAGCTAAGAATCTAGTGGAGAACAAAAAATATTCGAATGACTATTTCGTTTGGATACATTCGCAACGTTATTCTTCATGTATGCAGTCGGTTTAAACCCCAAACCATTGTCTGAAATTATTGAGAAATTGCCGTCATAGCTCAAGTCCCCGAATACTTCAACCATTGGATAAAATAACAAGCTGATTAGCTACAGGGAACTACGGAGAGGTTTTATTATCATAGAAACTAGTATAACACCATTCTTCAATGTTTCTGTTCTATATTCTATGCTGTGTAAATTATTTTAAAATGCCTCATTGGTTTCATGTACATAATGCGTTCTGTCTCAGATTGGGATTTTTAGTACTAACTTGTGTCCAAAATACATCAAATACTTATTTATGTTCGTACCTGCATTAACTAGATAATACCCTAGATCCGTGGTTGAGTATTCATGCTGCCAAAGTTTATTTTATCTCTTCATCTATGTGAAAACATCGAAATCACTCATAAAATCACCTCTATATTCAAATTAGGTTGTAGTTGTACGTTCATTGAACGTAGACCTGTTACAAAACGATATGGTTCGTCAAAAAATGGAATCCCTAGGATTATATGGAGGACTGTGAAACAGTTTTAATTTTAGTCTTCAGTGAGAAAGTGATTTATTATCTTCAGCCATCCCGTATGTCTGATACCGGATTGCTCATTCACAGCTCAAAATTAGGTGTAGCACCATTTTAACTCATTCAATTTACATCAAGACACTAGTAATGGGCAGAACTGGCCATTCTCATACGGTCCGTAATTGGTCAGTCAATTGAAAACTAGTAAACGTGGAATCGGTTGCATTTCAAACAAGAGAAAATAATGTCAATTAAATTTCCCGAACTGTTGATATCGATACGACTGCCAAAGCGATTCAGTTGCACAAGAAGTCCAATCTCAACTGGTCATTTTTTCTTCAAGTATTTTGCATTCAATCAATTAAAAGCGTTACACTTTACGGTCATCACCGTGTATTCCACATCTTACATTTTATTCGCATAAGTTCGTCCTTTTTACAGAATAGCTACAAAAGAAAACATATTTCAATTGCTTACTTTGAAGATTACAACTATTTTAGGCATGATAACCTTATTTCCCAAACAATAAACCGTCTCACTGGGATGTTAATTAAACCGACTACCAAAACTACAGCCTATTGTATGAGGCTGACTGGTTGCAATAATTCGATCAATCCGTAAATGTGTTCATACTAGTTCATATTTTTACCTAATTGGCCAATTTTGAAGCGGAGGCCAAATGTTTCGTCAATGTGAATCAAGCAAGTGGTCTAAGTGACCGCAGCCATGGTCTAGATAATGTCTTGCGCATCAAAGTGTACTTTTCACAAGCATAGTCTTGTGGTATTTGGTGGATAACACATATTGGATTACATGAGAAGAAAGATAACATTTTTTGGAGTCTAATTTTAAAAGAGTATATATTACCTTTTTCTTAGACAGTAAAACCAAAAAACTTTCATTCAAAATATTAGAAAAAATATTACAGTTTATAGGTGTTTCAATATTTTTTCGATCCCTCTATTTTATTCCCATTGACCGTTGCCGAGGAATGTCCAAAGTCTTCCAACTCAAAGATGGTCGACAGGTTATTTGTTTGTTCAAATTCCACTTGAAGGCTTGCATAGCTATGTATCACCCCACTTATCGGAAAGTTTCCTTCTTGCAGTTGACAGGACTTTAATGGATTTACTCCATTAAACTCCATTAAACAGTCACTCAATCATAGCTTACTTAATCTATCCGTTTTGTAGAAATTCTTCGGGTGTGGCATTTGGCTCCGAAACGTTTTGAACTTAGATTAGGCTGAGCATGGTGGGTCAGCGCTCCTCAAGTTGAGGGTTAGAACGCAGCAGTAAACAGAGAATTCACTTGGTTAAAGAGATGGACCAAATAAGCTATTTCCTTAGAAATAAAATACAACCTTCTATTCATTAAAGAAATTTAATGGTTTTCTAAAATAATCTATTACGATACGACATGTCATACCTGAAAAACTATAGAATGTCGTGAGATAAAAATCAAGGTCGTCGAGCAGTTTTATTAGACGTCTGAATTTACTTTTTCAAGACAAATTACTGCACTGACAAATGGATGTGTTTCTTACTTTGGAAGCCCAATACATCATCTTTATTCTTCAAAATAGTATTTGATAATAATAGTTCAGCACCGAATTCTGTTTCTTTTTGCTTTAATCACAATATCCGTTGTTATCTACCATTGTCATCCCATTTCAATAAAGAAATCAATACATTGTTTTTGCTAGACTCGTTTGAAGCAAACTGAAGCAACGGATGATGCTTGTCGGTATGCCGAATCCCATTTGAATAGCAAAATCGGATGCCCTAAATTAAGCACAACTTTGAACATAGTTTGTTTTGTTTACTTCATCGAGGCTCGGAAACGTAGATCCAACATGGTTCAGATATGCTTTAAATATCTAACATCTACAGAAACGACTAAACGGTTTCTAAAATTGGAGCTTTTCGAAAAGCTGAAACATCTGGGAAACACTAGTGCAAGAGCGGATTAAGGTACAGGAATCGCTTAGTAAACCGAGAATACTGTATCACAAAAATGGACTTAGTACTCGGTGCCAGTACAAAGTTTACATCGAACACCGGGGAGAAAGATAAGACTCCTGGTATAGAGAGGAGAATATCTAAGATGATAAGACAACTAAAACAAGAGAGTGTGACTAATTCCTCCTTGTATAAAAGAATTAGACTGATTGGGACCACAATAACTCGACTATACATATTACCTAAGATCCTTAAGTATGAGGTACCGCTGCGTCCCACTTTTGGCATGAGTAATTCACCGTACCACGATATGGTAAAGTGGCCAACTAATCTTCTCAAACCAGTCAGAAGGGACATCGCCAAGCTCACTCTACTAAACTCCCTTGATTTTGTCAATCATACTGCACCAATTAAAATAACCAATAAACAGATGTTCTCGCTGAATGTTACCTCATTACTTACCAGTGTGCTACTCCAAGAGACCATTGAATTCGTTGCTAATTATATGAAAATTTCGGGATTTCCCATTGGACTGCCCCTAGCTGATCTCAAGTGACTTCTATATCTATGCACATATAAATTGTAATTTCAGTTTAATGGTACAAATTGCAGACAGAAAGACGTAATAGTCATGGGTTCGCCATTACGATAACCATTAGTAGCCAACCTTTTTATGGCCAAATTATAAAACGGAGCAATCTCAAACCCACAGAAGAATCTATCTTTTTACAAACGATATATGGATGATCCCATCTGTGAATACGGTGCTGCCAAGCATGCTAATGTAGAACTCCAATATGGCTCATCCAAAAATATAGCTCACCCTGGAAAACGAATCAACAGGTGATCTCGCATTTCTGGACGTGTTTTTGTTCTGACGGTCGGATCTCTCCTTTCGTAGAAGCATTACCCATACGAAAACAGTGAAGGAGCAGTAGATACAAAAGAAAAATTTGATTCGATGCTTAACCAAGAGAGTTAAGAAACTTCGTTCTTTGGACTCTGTTAGGTTTGTACATGGAGGAATACTACATTTTTTTCTATAGAACGGATATCCTGAGTAAATCTTTTCTATAAGCATGACAACGTATCCACTCAAGAGGCATTATGTGACAGCAAAAAAGAAGCGTGTCTGTGTCTCCACCTCATTAAGAAGAAAAAGAAATGTGAAAATATCGATAAGACGAATCCAATCCTCCATCAAGTTCGCCTACTTTGCAACTAAACCTCGCATTATATTTACATCCAAACCTGTCCTCTTTATGCGGACGAGAGACAAATTACCCCTGTATGCGACCTCATTTGTGTTTATCAATTCATCGTGATTTCGTCTACTGACTTTTCTGTGTTATTCAATGATCAGCTGTCTTTGTCTTGCGAACATCTTACTGATTATCTTAATTCCTGCTATGAACAATGCTACCCTGTTGAAACTATTTATATTCGAACCGATAAGTTTTCGTCGCCCGTCCTCAACCGACTTTGTCGAGATAAGAAGACGGAATACTTGGCCGTCGGACGTAACAGTGTCAAACAGCTCTCTGTGCTCATTAGAGCTGGAGTAACTCCCATGACCCTTTGAATTTTGCTTATAAACCCCATTTATCCACACTTGACGCCGTTGGTTATATTGTTCATTCTGTTGCTTCCGTTTTAGACAATTGCGCTGGTATAACTAGTTTAGTTTTTCCTGATTATACAAACGCTTGGGTTCTCTCGACCGAAGACGTCTTTCTGTGTGTGGTCTAACTCCTGGAGTCTTGAATGTACTAATTGACTACTTCTACCGTAGGATCCAGTTTACTTCACTGAGTGGAATACAATCTTCTATTAATATTGAAGCCAGTGTTTTAAGAGTGCCATTTTGTTCCCTTTCTTGTTTTATATGATTATACAAAATCTCCCCTTTGCCACCAACTTCACTGTTTCAAAATATGTTGATAATATTGTGACTGGTTTCCCAGCCCCTACTTCAAACAGTTTCCGACCCGTCCAGGACAGTCTAAATAGACTTTACGATTGGTCTGTGACCCTTGTACTTAACATCAGTAAGGGCGGTGGTGGCCCGGTGGTAACGTCACCAAATTATCACCCCGGAGGACGAGTGTTCGAATCCCACCACCACTGCCTGACTTTCCCCATTTGTGTGTTGTATGGCAGCCCTTTGATTGGCCGCTTCCCCCTTCCTGAAAATTGTATCTTTGTATATTCAATAAAAGGAAGTCAAATGAAAAAGAAATGAAAAATTGCATTGAAGTTCCATTTAGTTCTAAAACCGGCCCTCGTTATCTTTCATTAGTTAATAATCTCCCTAATCTCAGGGTTAACAAAGTATTCAAAAATCCGTATCTGTTGAATACCTTGATGTCACTCTTACCCAAAACCTATCCTGGTCTGCTCAAGTCATCAACGTTTTCACCGAAGTTAGAAAACTGTTTTTCTGTGCTAACTGGCCGTAACACAATCTCATTATTAAATTTGTGATTGCCTGCATTCTTCCGCACTGGCTATACCGATCCCGGATTTTTATTCCTGGACTGAAAGAAAAAGGCCTCTTTATTTTTGAGATACCTTGAACTTTGTCCCAAAACAGTAAAGTCAATAGAGATTTTTTAGTTGCTTTATTTATCTCCAAGCAACTTGACGCTTGTTTGCTCACTTGTGTTCTCATAACTACTCCATCAGGGAGAGTTACGCATTATACTAATAAAGCAAAACCTCCTTCCAGTCTGAATGGTAACTGTGTGGTATATTACTGACATTCGGCGATGCATAAAGTAAAATACAACTAAAATTATGAATTCAAAGCCACACTCATTTCGACTACGTAAAAAACGTAAAAAATACCAATTTTCTTAATTACAGTCTACAATAAGCAGGTCAATATTGTTTTTCTTGTCCAATTAAAAGATATGGTAACTCGATCAAATTTTAGTGCATCCTTGTGCTTCATTTAAGGTTTGATCACTCGATGAAAGGTTCGCACTCGTCAGATGCAGTACTACTAAGCAGTTTGATAGCCAATTCAAGAATAGGCTTCTTATGGTTCGATAAATCAACATATATGACGGTCGATGTGTAATTTCATTATCTAAACACAAACAACTGGCGCTCATCCCTGGAAATGCAGGGTCCTTTTGATTGAATTTCGATACCGACCGACACCAACAATTCAAGGATGTACCATAAAGGCAGAGTGTGGAATACACAGAAAGTAAACAAATGCTAGTACAAAATTTGATGAAACGTGAGTTTCCGAAATACTCATAAATCCAGGGAATCTACATAGGGTCACGAAAATGCACAATAGTAAACTGGACCTGGTGATGCGTTTAGTGGATATAGATAGACCAATTTATTTCAGCCGCGTTATCTGAATGGATCAAGGTCTTGAAATCAATGTTGTAGATGAGTAGTTTCTGTATTTTGCTAAAAAGATCATAGAGTATTTTGTGGGGAAAGACTTATTTTTCTATTTGGATTAGAACACGAATTTCTGTTGTCTCTGTTTGATACACCTTGGACTCCGGTTTTGTTATATTACCTGAAGATTGAAATTATTGCCTAATAGCATGAGGTAACTATTGTTTATTCCTCACAAAAAGAAAATCATTCTGAGTTCCTTTTGGGGAAATACTTTTCTGCTCAAGACACATATGTTCAATATGAAATACAAAAAAAAATAAACAATGAAATGCGAATAACACCTCGATAGCCTTTCAGTCTAAATTGCAGATAAAAGCCGATGATTGCTTTTGAGATGCAATGATCTTTTATATGGAACAGTCAGAGTTGATTTTTCTATAACTCATTTGGTTCGCGTTTACTTCTCATCGACAATAACTTTCATCCATCATCATATTCATAATCACCATAATACATAATCGTCCATAATCACTTGTGTTTTGAGCAATTGAACTTTTTACATATTCCGCCAGTCAATTTAAGCGAAATTTCAATCTGTGAAGATCTGTTAATACAAGAAGAAACCGCTGTGTCGCTCAGTTGGTAGTTATCCCAAATGCCGCCTGTCGTAACCACTGTTTTAATGAGCTACTATTTGGAACGCCGTAGTTGCTGAACTTTATCCAACTCTTTTTGTATTAAAAAGCGTTCGGTTGACAGAATTCAACTGATGTCCGGCATGCAATTTCCATAATCAATTACTGCAATAAATAGCACCCATGGACTGCCGATTAACGCCCTACTCATTCATCTTCCACTGAGTCCACCAAAAATATAATAATCCCGA